GCAGATCTAAAGGGGCTAAGGAATTTCGTGACAGACATACATAACGACAGACGACAGAATCACACACGACAGAACGACAGAACGACTGAACGACAGACGAAACGTTTTATAGTAAATAGGATCGAGGATATAGAAATATTTTTTGGCATAAATGACGCGAAAACGGTAACCTCTTGGCGGACCGTAAGCGAACACTGAAGCGATGGTACTTCGAAAACATAACAGTCGAGTTTGCTCATCTCGTTAATCCTTGCGCTCCGCCAGTACACGGCTACGTTCAGAAGATATCCGTGAAGGAGACGGTTACGATTATGAAGGGGACGAAATCGCGCAAAGCAACTGGTACTGACTTGTGAAAACCAAGGGGCTGGAATCCTGCAGTGTGATTGACGGGATTCTTCAACGAAGTCGTTGCAAGGGAAGGTGTCTGAGAGCTGGCAACAGAGCAGGACGACTTCTTCTGGAAGAGGAGCGGTCCTGGGGAATGCACTTGTGACGTCCATTTCGCAGGGTCTCGCACAGCATGAAAATCTTTGCGCAAAAGTAAACAGTCGCATCCGTGACATCGTCGAGCTGATCACCAATCAGTGTGGTTTTAACGCCGGTTGCAGCACCATCAATACTTGCCACTCGTCTTCTGCTAGAAAAGCATCGCGGGAAAAAGAAAACGGTGTGTCTCGCTTCTTTAAACTTTGAGAATACTTTTGATCGGGTGCCGTATGTACCGGGTGTCCCGGAATTATTGGCGTCGAAATTCAGAAATTTCTAAGGTAGAAATAACTTATCAAATTCACGTTACCTGTTACAAATTAGTTGCATGAGAAGGTTTCCTTGCAATATGCACGGTTACTGATGTGGAACTCCCATTATCTTTCAGATGGAGGAGGCTCATTCAATGCCACTTGTAATCACTGACATGTGAGAGGTGGAAGGGCGTTGTGAAATTCCTTGGAATTTTTATAATAACTACGTGGGAGGCTATTAAACGATATAGAAAAGAAGATCGAATTAGAGACCAACCAGGAAAGGTAGAAATGCCAATGTTTCTAAAAATAGGACTATTAAAATGGTCCGTTTGCCAGTCGGTCGAGATCCTGGGTGACCCATCAAGAGGAAGTCAATGGGCACGCCTTATCGGAGTTATCGCGGTGGAAGAAGGTGATGCAGAAGCTCCACTGCCATTTCTATCGTATGCAAAAATTTCGCTTCAATTCCGATCTCAACAGACACTGCAGGGCCAAAAAATGTAGAAAGCCGCAGACCCACTTGAGTGATGACACGCAACCCTTCATCGTTTTCTCTGGCCAAAAAATTTTTTACGGTGAAACCATCCCTCAAGAACCAAAACGTTCGCGTTCCGAAAAGAAACATCTAGCGTGCAATCTCTCACAAAAAGGTTGCTATAAGAACAGTAAAATGATGTTTTTCGAGGATCACCGGCAAGGGTAAGCCTCTCGTGGTTTCTTCGGTGCAGGCGTGAAAATTGACCAAGACCAGTACTCAAACAGCGTACTGATGGAAGTAATGAAGCACTGCTCCGACTACGTTTTCTGAAAGATCTCGTAGTCCTTCCAGCAGGACGCTACTCCAGCCCACAGAGTCAAGCTTGCCCACGAGTGGTGCCGACGACAGCTGCCCGACTTCATTGGTGAAGAGGAATGGTCATTCTATTTTCCAGAAGTTGACTCACTTGACTCCCACGAATGGCCCCTGATTAGAAGAGGACCCGGAGTTCGCAGTCCCAGTTTGGAGTCCTAGAATGCAAGGCTGAAGAACGGCTGGGAAGAAATGGAGCAGGATACCTGCGCGCCACATGCGATCAAGTCGAGAATAAACTTTGACTTCTTTCCACGATCATGGGGGATATTTTGAAACACACTGTGGCATGTTGTGGCACGTAGTGTTAGCAAGCGTGCATAGAAATTCCATCGTATTTCGCAGCTGGGAAGTTCCAAATATATTGCTGTAAATCGGCGCCAATAATTTTGGGACACCCTGTAGTTCGATGAACGCCCTGCCACAGTACGGAGTTCCTGAAGGACTGAGTGGGTGCGCATAATCTACTCGAATCCACGAGTCGACTGTGAACAGCAGCAGGAACCCCTTCGCAATATCCCATCTCCGTCGAGGTATACCAAGAACTGCTTTTCTCCCACTACTATTTGTTGTCGTCATGGATGCCACCACATGAGATCTTCAGAATCCAGCGCCGTGGGCCGGTTTCTGAAGAGAAGAAGGTACTTGAGCAAGAGGTGCATACTTGGTTTGACCGTATAGCAATATTCGGACTTAGGCCGAATGTCAAAAAGACCAAGTACATTGAGCAGAGTCAAATGAACAAGGCACATCGAGCATGACGGCAGTAAGCTCCTGCGTACATCTGCATTCAAGTTCTTTGGATCGGCAGCCGCGTGCGACGGTAGTCCGGCCTACCAAGTCAACTGACGTACAAATGCGACATTATCTTAACGACTCCCGCTGACTGGCATTCTCCACTATAAAGATAACTGAGCGCTCAAATCAAAGATCTACAGGACCGTCACCGACCTGTCGCGATTTACGGTGGCCTGTGACAAGAGAACATAGAGTACTCCTCGGGGTAGTGGAAACGGGATCGCTGCGGTGGACTGCAAGAGCCAAGCGTTTAGAGCGTACTCGCAACGATGCAGTAAGGTAGCGTTTCGAAGTAGCGCCTACAGCGAATAAAATGAGCAAAGTTCGTCTTCGGTGGTACGATCGCGTCCTACCGAAAACGCGTATGTAAGATCGGCCTCAACCTCGGCCTAAAACACAAGCAATGCTTTTTGATACCTTGCATGGTCTTCGAATCAGTTTCCCTCTATCCCCTCCTAGCACTCGATCGAGAAACGTGACGTCAACACACCACAGAAACGTACCTCGATTCGAGAAGGGACAAACATTAGAGAACCCATTATACCTCAAATTTTCCTTCAATATATGTATTTAGAGACACGGCGTACTCATACGTACCACCTCGCAGTCCTTACTATATAAACCACAAGTTGGCGCAACCGCTTGATTGTTTGTGTCTGTCTGTCGCGAAAGTCGGTATTACCTGAAGAAGAACTCAAGAGGCTGCGTCAACTTCGGATGGGTGACGCGTAAGGCTAAAGTAAGTGGTACTATTTTTGGATTTTCAACTTGCTTGTAGGAAAAGGTCTGGAGGCCAGAAAAAAGATTAAATACAGTGCGTGTCATAATTATAAGGTCACCCCAGATTTTTGCGATTCTGGAGAAAGCGGCCGGAATGGAATTTTTTGACAAACACTGGAAAATTCCTCGTCACAATGTACCTCCGTACTCAAATTTTGGTCGCAATATCCTTTACCTCAGATTTTTTATGAATTTTT